GTGTTTTACTCTTCACAATTAACAATCTTTATGCTAGCTCCTAAAGCTCAGTCACACTGTCACTTTGATCTTTGCATTGTATACAAGGACGCCATTAATGCCATTATGGATTTTTCGACATATAAACACAAGTCGATTTCTCAGTTTTGTAGAATTTATGTTTTGGAGGTGTTTTTTTAATTTTATTATGTTGTTTGGCATTTTTGTTTGCATGACAATTTTTAGCCCATTGATAACTTGTCCGCGGCATCTCGCTCTGTTGAATAGAAATTCCAATTTTAACTGTTCTGTCGTAGAAATGTCATCATGTAATTGTTTGTACGTAGAACATGTATCGTTATATTAAAATGTGTCAGTCCCAGCCAAGACTCACTGAATAAACACGAAATATTTACAGACGATAAATAAATTTTACACAATAAGTCTTGAATCTGAATGAACGTTATGTACGATGAAGTTAATTAAGAGTCCACAAGAAAGTAAGTAGGAATGTAAATTTTATTTAAAGTCGGAACATATAAATACACCATAGATGTATAAACCCATATATACATCTATGAACACACTAACAGATAACATATGAGCTTCTATGAGCTCTATAACCGACTATCATATAAAAAAACCACAATGAATGAACGATACACGATTAGGGATGACCGATTGACGAATGCACGTTGCACGGTTATAATCCTGAATTATTGATGAACGCACGATACACGGTTGAGAATGAATGATTGATGAGAGCACGTTACACGGTTAAGAATGAATGATTGATGAGCGCACCTTACACGGTTAAGAATGAATGAACGATGAACGCACGTTGAACGGAAAATACACGGAATGATGAATGATGAGCACACGATTGGTGAATGGACGATACACGCACGATACACACACACAACACGCACGATACACGCACACAACACGCACGATACACGATGAACGCACGGAAAAATGGTCAGTTTGAATTATAGAAGGTCTGTATATATATAATATGTGAATATTATATGTCTCTGCTTGTACTGTAAATTTTTAAACATTATATCCCGTTTAGACAGATTATTCTTTGATATGTATATATCACATATACTTTTGGTAGTTTTATTTGATCTCGCCTTATTTATATTTTTTTTAAATGTTTCAGAAAGGGAATATAATGTGACATTCCCGGCTAAGGGTTTACATACCCTTCGCCTTCGGCTCAGGGAATATAAACTCTAAGCCGGGAATGTCACATTATATACCCTGTCTGAGACCTGAAAAACATATAATATCATATATCTCTGGTACAAGTAAGTAAGTTAATTTCTTTACTGAGTCGGCACATATTTAGTGTCATGTATATATACATATATGGACCTTTTGAGTCTGAAATAAAGTTGGTCTAATCTTATCTTATATGTACAATCAACAATTAGCATGAGTTTAAGAAAGCTCTTACAATCGTCAGTAGAATCAATTCTATTCAAGTATTGTAGTAACGCTGGGGAGGTCATCGCATGTCCAAATATTTGTTCAAGTTTCCAACCGTTGCCCATGATCTTTGGTAGTTTTTACATAAATAAATCTAGATAGTGGATAGATAGATAAGACAGCAACACAATGACACAGAGATCCAGAAGACAACTTGACGTCAATTTTAGATTTTAGTCAGCAGTATAGACAACTGTCTTAACACTCATGAAGATAATTGGAAATACAATGTAGATTCCTAAATAATTCTGTATATGTCTGTGATAAGAACATCAGTGTAGTGTTCAATGAGAACCTATATATTAAGCTGTTTTGTAAGTTAGTATGAATAAAAACTGAAACTTTTAGGAATACTGAATCTGTCATTATCTAATTTATTTTCCATATACATATTGTGGTGAGTGATCTTGGCTAAGCTATTTTCGAAATATTTCATCCAATAATTTTAAAATTTTGCGGTGCATTTATTAAAAAAAGTTTTTTTTTCATCGTACGACCTTCAACAATGAGGGAAACCCTTACCACATAGCATGAAATAAAATAAAATGACAAAATGTAAAACTATTCAAACGAGAAAACATTGGCCTGATTTATGCACAAAACAACAAATGAAAAACAAATATGATATACAGCAACAAAGACAACACCTGATTTACAGGCTCCTGATGACTTGGGTTAGGCACGTGCAGAATGTGGCGGGGTTAAACATGTTTGCGGACGCCCAATCCTTCCCCTAACCGCGGATATTGGTGTAACTGCACAACATAAAAAAAACCCATAAAAATCAGTTAAAAGGGCTTAACACATCAGATCGATATAAAGCACAAAACCGACCAACAAAAACACTTACCCGAAGGGCATTAGCTGTCAAATTCATGTTCTCCGATTTGACTCATATTCTCATATTTGATTTATAACATACTAAAACGTATATCCAAATTACAAAAAGTCTAAAATACACAAATAACAATGCGTGACTGAAAGTAAGTTCAATGCTTAAAACGAGAAATAAAAAAAAATAAAATATGATTTTTTTATTTGTTTAGTGAAATAGTGATATACTAACTCGCTTTTAACAGTCAATTTGTTTCAAATATGTCAAAACAAGCTAATGAAACATCACAGATGAACTATTCACTTGCAAGTGAGTAATTTGACCTCAGTGAATCCGTATTCATGTGATCTTCTATTTAACCCCTTAGCTAGAGATGGTTTACGCCTAAACTACGCATGTTCAGCTATTAAAAGGAAAAGAATGTCAACATTGAAAGTGAAATAAGGGTCAACAATTTAGTTGACTTATTTGATCCATAAAAACTAATTCTTATACAGGTAAAACGATGATTAACTATTTATTTAACCTATAATATGAAATCAAACAGACCTAGCAAAATCCAGTTGTACGTGTTCGCTATCTATTTATATCTATATTTATGTTTATCTCGGGTGATATGACCGTCGGCATTTCTTCGGTGGTCTCGAATTTTAATTTGGTGGCGTCTTGACTAAAATACACACGAAATGCTGATACATACTATCGAGTCCATGCAATGTACCTTGACCTATAATGATTTACTTTTATAAATTGTAACTTGGATGGAGAGTTGTCTCATTGGCACTCATACCACATCTTCCTATATCTATCGTAATCTTTTTTATTTCAGACTTTTTAGAATCTGGATATATGTTTTAGTGTGTTATAAATCATTTGAGTCAAATCGGAGAACATGAATTTGACAGCTAATGCCCCTTTCATAACAATTAATAAAACAAATCAGATACTAGTATCCAAGACAAAATATCAACCACTTCACATCCAATGGGTTATATGTAAAGACGTTACGAACAGTCTAACAACACATGACCACGTACAATGCAAAATATAAGTATAAGACAGACTGTAGAACCTAAAATGTTCACTTTTTACAAAACTTGTTTTCAGTTGTTTTCGAAAGCTTTCATAACTCACCTTTCTCGTTCGGTCTCGGTGTGTTTAAAGAAGTCTCCGAAGGTCGACGAGTCTTTCCTTACCAACAAGACTAGTCTGGAAAAGTTACACCTTTGTCTCGCCACCTGTGACGTCGCACGGGTATTGAACTTGCAGTTAAGCGAGAGATGTTGAAAATTCTACTGTAATGTAGCTTTGAGATAAATACAGCAATAAAATCGATGGCCCTTTCCTATTAGTGTTTTTTTTTTTTTTTGTTTCGTGTAGTGATTTTGTGTGATGAATTGGTTCGCCATACCTTTTCTTTTCCATTATGTAGTGAATTGACTAAATTGTGTATACAATTGATTATAACGAACCTGCTGTTTGATACGGACTACCCCCCTTTTTTTACGTTTTGGCTCCTTAGCTCAACTGACGACGTTCTAATGTTACACGATGATCTCAGGTATCTAATAAAAAGATATACACAACAACAAAGGATATCGAGATTTTTTTCCTCATAGAAAACAGAAAAAAAAGAACTGTTGTAGATAGAACGATGTGGATTTTAGCTCTTTGCAAGCTTTATAGCATAATTGGAAGTTTGAAAACATGTCTAACCTCGCCACATTCTATATGTGGATGTCCCGCGTCAAGAGCCTGTAATTCAGTGGTTGTCGTTTGTTCATGTCTGTCATATTTGTATTTCGTAAATGTTTTGTCCTAAATCGGGCTGTTGTTTTTTTGTTTTTTGTTTTCGTTTGAATGTTTCAAATTTTGTCATGTTGAGGCCTTTTATAGCGGACAACATACGATATGAGTTTGCTCATTGTTAAAGGCCGTACGTTGACCTATAGTTGCTTAAATACACGTCATTTAGACTCTATTGGATAGGTGTCTCATTTGCAAGCATACCACATATCCTTATTTTAAATAGCCTTTGCTATTGAAACCTTCAAGTACTGTTCTTGTTTTCCTTAATGGTTCTAAAATTAAATACCGATATATCTCAAACGAAAATGTTCGAAATGTATTAAAGGTAAATCTTTCATCTAAAACAGTCATTTTTGGGGCCCTTTATAGTTTGATGTTCGGTGTGAGCCAAGGCTCCGTGTTGAAGGCCGTACTTTGACCTATAATGGTTTACTTTTACAAATTGTGACTTGGATGGGGAGTTGTCTCATTGGCACTCATACCACATCTTCTTATATCTATTAAATGTATTTAATGAGATGTAAGAGTAGTCAGTATTTGCTTCCATTTAAGTGATCAGCCATTTGGGAATAAACAAAGTATTGCCTGAGAACATTTCATTTTAAACTGGGATTAGAAAGCATTGTCTTGTGCAAGTCCATGTTACCAATTTATCATTAAATTAACATTTCGTGCGCTTAAACCATAAGAAGTATAAAATATTGGGCTAATTTACCGTATTATGAAAGAATTGTTATCTTTTAATTACATATCGTTTTAAATCTACATTGTACTTAATTGACCCACTTCCTAGCCCTGTACATGGCTTCAAATTTCATCATATATTTACTTTGATTGAAAGGTTGACAAACTAAATACATTTAAAAAAAGTAAGAAACCGTTTATGATTTAAACTTCCGACCGCACAGATTTGTGTACAAAAAGTGAACAGACTTGCATGATTGTGAGCATAAACACGTATCTTTTTTTCAAATAAGAAGTCTAACAGTCGAGTCAATAAGAATTCGGACAATTTGTTTATAACAATATTTATATATCCATATACAGTTTATGTGTGTGTGAAGGCCAGTGACGACTGGTTTTAAATGGGTAGTTTTCATTCTTTGTTTGAAAGCGTACGTATACTATCTTATTTTGTCGTTAAAAGACTCTTAATTATACATATCAATATATATATACTGTATTTGAAAAGGATTTAAAACTTAAAAATTGACAAAAGGTGTATTTATGTGTGAATATAAATAAAAGGGAAACTTGGATATACGTCAGTGTATATATGTGTAACCTTTATGTGTATGCTTTTTATAATTGTCAACAGCTTTCATATACACATGTATGTCACACGAAGAAAATGAAATGGTAAGTCAGTAAAAATTCTCTGTGTAATGCCGGCTAATTTTCAAACATTTCTCTTTTTTCCAAATTGGTTCGATATATATATATTTATAATATGCAAGTCTAAATTGAAAACAACGTTCAAACCTATGATTGCGTTGGATAAAAACCGCAATTTTTAAACGTGTGCATGCAAAACAAATTTCTTGGTAGAGGGGTCTAAATACAGAACAAACAACATTTTCCAAAAGACCAAAAAAAGTGAAAAAGTATATTTTAACAAAACGCGTTTGACTAGCAGGTCGTACAACGGATGTTCTTAAACCCTGCTGATTGCCATGGCGATTGCCAAATAAACGGATCACCAGATGTAACAAAATGGATATAAATTATTAATTTAATACCAAACAGAAAACAATAAACTTGCGGAAAAGATGGTAAACCGCAAACATGAGGTGCAAAAATTTGTACACCATATCCGGATTTCGACAATTAATGTCTCTTCAGTGATGTTATGAATCGAAACGGTATTTGGAAGGCCATATAATTTACCTCAATTTAGGATTGACTCCTGAATTTTGAAGAGTCGAAATAGGATGAACGGATTATATAAACCTGAAGGCAAATATAATACAAGCCCAAACGAAAAAATATAAACAAGTCTAAATTGAAAACAACGTTCAAACCTATGATTGTGTTGGATAAAAACCGCAATTTTTATACGTGTGCATGCAAAACCAATTTCTTGGTAGAAGGGTCTTAATATCTATTATATGCAACACATTGTTTAATTGATTATGAAATTTATACTTTCAGACAACTAATTCAGAAAGATCTGCTAAAGTTGTATCAGGTGAGATGTATACAAATATTAACCTATCTGCTGTACAAATCTGACTAAACAGATATGTAAAAAAAAAAAAAAACATTACTCGTTTAATCTTCTCGCAAAGAACGCGGCAGTCAGTTGTTTTATCGGTTTGACAAAGCAATTTCAATTTTTCGATGCGATCATGATATCAATTTTTGTACTTTTCAGTTTTATGGAAACATGGAAAATTTTAGAAGGGAAGTAAAAAAAATAGTTTGTTTCCATTGAAAATAAGAAATAAAATAGATACAGCATTGAGTTTCACAAACAATGTCTTGTTCCTGTATTGTTAGTGATAAAAATTAGTTTCTTGTTTATTAAAGTAAAAAACAAGGGTTTGTCCCGAGTATCCCCCCCCCCCCCCCCCCCATTTTTTAATAATATCAATGTATTTTTTATTTTTATTTAGATTTTAAAGAGGTTTTTGAACTTTTTGACAAAGATGGTGATGGCACCATAACAATCAAAGAACTAGACACTGTAATGAGATCACTGGGACAAAATCCAACTGAAAATGAAGTCAAAGAAATGGTACAGAAAGTTGACAAAGATGGTATTTATTATTTCAGTTGGGAGTTTTGGATACAGAATTGTGTTGGTATTCGTGTCATTCCGTGTGTGTATCTTATACGTACTATTATTTGTCTGTTTGTCTTTTTATTTTTGCCCATGGCGTTGTCAGTTTGTTTTCGATCTATAAGTTTGACTGTCCCTCTGATATCTTTCGTCCCTCTTTTAGGTATTTCACACCCCATTTTTTATGGTAATGTTCTATACAAAGCACAAAAATGTCGTCATTCACCTCAAAAGCAGGATCTGTATTTTAATCAGATCGATTTTTAACCGGAGTAAAGGTCAAATTACCATTTTATATCTTTTCTATCAAAGGTAACGGAACAATAGAATTCCCTGAATTTCTCCAAATGGCAACAGATATGATGAAGTCAGTAGACTTAGCAGATGAGGTGCGCGATGCCTTCAGACTGTTTGATAAAAACGGAGACGGTTATGTAACTGCACCAGAACTTAAAACAATCCTGTCCAACAATGGAGAGAAGATTTCTGATGAAGAATTAGATGCTATGGTTAAAGATGCTGATGTGGATGGTGATGGGAAAATCAACTATGAAGGTAACAAAGTCAAGTTCTGTTGTTTAAATAGAGTATAATATCGTTTAGAGTTATGTTTACAGCGGCAAGGTTCAGCCAAATTTTATCAGCTTTAGATATATGCTTTTAAACTCACCTTGTCCAAAGGGCCAGGGCTAACTATTGTTATATTATATACTTATTGACTGGGTATGAGTGGAATAGTAAGTTTATTGTCCCCCGAGGTGCAACTTTTTCCCTGAGGCGTAGCCGAGGGCAATAGTTGTATCCGAGGGGACAATAAACTTACTATTCCACGAATATCCAGTCAGTAAGTGTTTTATAATACCGAAAGAGACAACAGACAATAAATGTCGGGGATAAATTAACTATCGTAAAATAAAAAGCAGAAACACAACCATACTGTTTAACGTTTACTTCATATATATTCAGGAGTCGGTTTCACAAAAAAACTTACGACTAAGATTGATCGTAAGTCATGAACAATGCAGTATACTTACGATCAATCTTAGTCGTAAGTTTTTTTGTGAAACCGACTCCTGAATGCTAATGGCGTCTATTATTGATCATTATTGTCTATCATCCGTCGTCAATTTGAACAAAACATCTCCGAAATATCTGGATCATTTGAAACCAACCCGATTGAAATCATCGCCACAGGCACTTGTTTCTGAATTTTTTTTCCCTATTAATGTATTAAGGTATGTCTACACAATTTTTCACTCTTTTAATCGGCTGAATTTGCTCTCAGTGTAGAAAAGTTGTGATTATTTTAACAGACTATGACAGATCTCACCACCAACACAAATTTCGCTTTATGCCAAATATCCAATGTCCATGCAGGGACTTTCTATAGCATAGAAAGTCCCTGGTCCATGGTAAAAATTGAGAAATAAAACTGCAGTCCACGAAAATGAAAATGATAAAAAATGAAAACCCACCAAAATCTAACGTAAACTTACTTGCTCCTGTTTCGAATATTAAAAAAAAAACAACTATGTAATACTTATCTACAAAAACATTTAGTGTTTGACATCCTTAAGTTTCAATAGTTATTGATTGAAAGATTGGCTGCTGCTTAACGCCAATTGGCATTATTACATAATTAAAAATGTCCAGGTATTTATATATCATAATCATACAAATTATTAACTGTAATATAAAAATAAGGAGATATGGAATGATTGCCAATGAGATCAATTCCACCAGAGTCCAAATTACGTGGATTTAAGCAATTATAGGTCACCGTAGAGCAGAAAAAAACACCAATTACAATAAATTAAAACAAATATGATAGAAAGCAACACATGACAACAACTGAAATACAAGCTTTTAACTTGGAACAGACACATAAAATAAATGGGGTTAAACATGTATGAGAGCGCTCAACCCTCTCATAACCTGTTACAGTGATGTAACAGCACAACATATTAAAACAAACTTTTAAAATTCAGTTGGAAATGGTTGGACTCCAGCCTACTAGCCAATGCTCTTACAGTTAAAGTCCTTGGATTGAACTGGTTGGGGATTGAACCTGAAAACTCCCAAACCGAAGATTACTAAGCAGAAAACTCGTAAAAAGGAACTAGTATTCTATTAGTCATGGAATGGCTGTAAATAAGACATTGTCTTAAGCCCCAGGGGATAGAGCTGACCAGACATATCTAAATTCTGTACAATAGCTTGCTGTACATAGTATCTACAGTTAGTGTACAGAATAAAAAAAAAATGATGCTAAAAATAATGACTTGTTTTTGTGTTTTTTTGTGTGTGTTTTGTTCCTTGACCACTTGTAGGTTTGGAAAATTTTTCTTCGTGCAAATCAAATAAAAAAGCACACATTTCTCTAGAGATTTAAAAAATACTATGCGCAAGTTAAGTGCAAATTCCTTGACCCAAGTTCTTTCTCATATTTTTTTTTATATTTATTTTTTTTTCTTCTTTTTTGCAGAATTTGTGTCTATGCTGGAAGGAAATTGATTTCAATATGTGCAAATAATCAGGGAAGGACCTAAAGCTTATTAATTGCTGAACATTTTAATATCTCTGTAAATATGTATTTTTTTATATATTTATTTCATACTGACATGTGCATTCTCATTAAAATAGTAAAATTACAGATTATAAATTGTATCTTTCTAGAAAATTGTGCCACAATTACGCGTGAATTACCCAGTGAACTACAACTGTAGACAATTGAATTCAAATGGTGTCCATTGCCATTACTTTATGCTGGAACATTTTTTTTTAATGTTTGCCTGTACACCTGTGTTGATACTATTTTTGGTTCATTTGATTGGTAAACTTCAAGTGATGGTTATTATCTTATATGCAAAGAAACGTTATGTGAAATTTTCACTGTAGTACTGGACAGGAAAAACTTTATTCATGCCAAGTATTTCTTTATTTCGAATAAAGATAATTTCTGCACATGTTTTTGAAAAATGCCAATTTAACAAAGACTTATAGGGGAAACTCAATGGTGCCAGGTAATTACTCTTTGATGTTGATAAATAGGTATAATCCGTTTTAACAGTGCTGTCTTACAGACTAATTATTTATAAGAGTAAAACTCCTTTGCCTGTTTTAATCCCTAATCTTGTGGTAGTTATAATATGAAACCTATTGGTTAACCACACATTTTGTATTGGATAAAATATATACAACATACTGTATATGTACCTTTTTTTTAATAAAAAACAAACCTGTAAAATGTTGCACAATCCATGATGTAAAATATATACAAGTTATAGCTGCTGAAAAGTATGAAATTTAATTGAAAAACTGCTTTTGTCAAATATGAACATCTAATTTCCATTGTCACACAATGTTGTATAAAAATTGGAAGAAAAGAAGATTACTTTGATAAGTGTTTAGTATGACGATAAATTTTCACTTTTGTTCTCATACTAGTAACAACAAAATTATTTCCGTACTCCATGTAGACCTTACAACAAAATTATTTACCTGTGTACATTATTTTATTTGGCAGTATTTTGTCCAAGGTTATGGTTGTCTTTCTGGTATTGTTTTTCATCTTACCCCCTTGTTTTATTAGTTTTGTATTTACATTGTGTCATAGATCAAATTTATTCGTTCAGTGTATGTTCACTTGTTTTTGTAAATATGTCTTTTGATTGAGTTAAGCCATTTCAATTGATATATTTTATAGTGTGTCTTTCTATGTTATGATGTTACACTATTGTTTCATGTAGGGTGAAGGTTGGCACCTATTAAAACGTTTAAACCCGCTGCATTTGTATGCACCTGTCCTAAGTCAGGAACCTGATGTTCAGTGGTTGTCGTTTGTTGATGTGGTTCATAAGTGTTTCTCGTTTCTCGTTTTTTATATAGATTAGACCGTTGGTTTTCCTGTTTGAATGGTTTTACACTAGTCATTTTTGGGGCCCTTTTTAGCTTGCTGTTCGGTGTGAGCTCCGTGTTGAAGGCCGTACTTTGACCTATAATGGTTTACTTTTACAAATTGTGACTTGGATGGAGAGTTGATACCACATCTTCTTATATCAATGTATATTTGTATCAATTGAAAGATAAGGTAATCCAATTGTTGTTTTATTAATTAAAAAAAAATAGCATCCATTAATCATTAAAAGATAGGCACTGGCTACGGTTACATTGAAATGTAACAATAACAAAAAAGTTATTGTTACATTAGAGACTAATTGCCTGAATGCAGGGTTGGGAAAGGAACCGATTAATTACGAAAGTAACAATAATATTTGTGTCTACGGTTACGTAGTGTTATTGTTACGTTAATGCACTTCCATGTAATCCAATTGTTGTTTTATTAATTAAAAAAAAATGGCATCCATTAATCATTAAAAGATAGGCACTGGCTACGGTTACATTGAAATGTAACAATAACAAAAAAGTTATTGTTACATTAGAGACTAATTGCCTGAATGCAGGGTTGGGAAAGGAACCGATTAATTACGAATGTAACAATAATATTTGTGTCTACGGTTACGTTGTGTTATTGTTACGTTAATGCACTTCAATGTATGCTGGGACTAGTAATATGTATAAAAAATAAAACTTGAAAACTTTTATTTGAATTTTACAACATTGCATACAATTTTTTAATTTTTATTTGCAATGGCAGTTTCTACACATCCAGTATTTTGTTTTGGGAGCATGTTTCAGTCTGAAGCATTTTTGCTAAAACCACTCTAGAACTGCATTTGTATAACTGTATAAAATTTGAGTCTTGATATTGTTTTAGTTTCGATTCAAACGCATCCCAAGTTTTAAATGTTTCACCCAAAACAAATTTGGTAATAGGAATCACTTCATCCATTGTTCAACGTATAATGACAGTAAACAGGGTAGGTGTGCAGTTAAATACATAGGTGTGAACACTTTTCTTCTTAATACCGAACCATTGAACTATATTTTTCGCCGTTGGCACTACTAAACTGTAGAAGTATCTTTTAGAACATTAAAACAATTAATAATTAAAACTATTTAAACACTTTTTGTTGAATAATAATAATAATAATAATAATAATGATAATAATAATAACAATAACAATAACAATAATAATAATTATAATAATAATAATAATAATAATAATAATAATAATAATAATAATAATAATAATAGTATATCAGTATTATTATTATTATTAATATTATTATCAAGTACATATATCGAAGAATTAAGCAACAAAAATATAGAAGGTTAAACACCAATAAATTACTTTAAAAAGGCGTTGAATCCTATAATAATTCTTATATGATTTGCATATTAGAGAATACGTTAATATGATTGGTTGAGAGGACTTCCGGTAGTTGTTCTTGACGTTGTTTATTTTTAGACGACGTTGACCGAACTTCTTTTCGTAACCAACGTAAACAAGATGGCGGCGATAATGACACAATCCGGATCGACGTTAACAAAATTTATTTTCAATTCGCGTTAATAGGTCTTAAATTAAATAATAAACACAAAACATTCGTTTGAATGATAATAAGAGTTTTTGTAGTTTATTTTTTACCAGATTGCAAATTTCATGGAGCACATATTTTTGCGTTAACCAACAAATATATTCATGCGCCAGGCCTATTCAATGACACAAATATACAATTTACGTGTGATAGAGGTTACGAGTGTTGAAAAATAAATGCCTTATCTCCAATTTTAAAGAATTATAAGGATTAAACGCCTTTTTAAAGGAATTTATTGGTTTATTAACTGTACCAAGTTACTCACAAACATATCATAAAAGTCCGAAATTTGTTTGTGAGTGAATTGGTCGAGTTTATACACCAATAAATTCCTTTAAAAAGGCGTTTAATCCTAAAATAAATCTAACGTAACAATAACACAACGTAACCGTAGACACGAATTATTGTTACATTCGTAATTAATCAGTTCCTTACCCAACCATACATTCCGGCAATTAGTCTCCAATGTAACAATAACTTTTTTATTATTGTTACTTTTCAATGTAACCGTAGCCAGTGCCTAAAAGATATCAGTAATGAATGATTAATGAAATAGTTTATTTTTCAAATGATGTATTTCAATAGTCATTTTTCAATGTATCATTATTTTCTTAATATTCTGATTTTTTACAGCAATTGAAAAAATAAGCGATCAATATTTTAAAAAATAGTACAAGTTCATCATTTTTAAAAGTTCATAAATCATAAGCTGTAGCTGATATTTTGCAATACATTTTATTATCTTTTTTTCTTACCTCAAATGTTATAAATATTGTTTACTATTTCAGTTTATTTTCTAGTCCCACTGCTTAAATACAAAACAAACTTTAGCCAAACAGGGAAGTAATTTTTCTGACTTTAAACTGTATATTGTGATAAACAATGTTTGCCAAAAAAAGTCATGAATTAATTAAATGTACAAATTCAAACAATCAGTCATTTCAATATAATGCCATTGAGATTTGTTTTAAAATTCTTTAATCCTTTCAATTAATCTTTGTTCAGTTGATAAATAAATAGGTTTACTATATATAGATACTTTAATACAGAAATGTAAGTTTTGATGTCAATTTCAGTTTTGATGTCAATCTGATGAGTGTGTTGAAAGTTGACATATTAACCAACTATGGCCATTTTACAACAGTTTTTGATACAATTTGTAATGATTCTGCCCAAAAATGATTGCCCTACACTTTAACATCTCTTAATAAGGCATCTTCTAGCAAACTATCTCTTTGGATACCATTATCCCTTTTTTAATGGTCTAAAAAAAAATGAGATGTGGTATGATTGACAACTATCCACCTATGACAAATTTAGGACAAAGATGTAAACAACTAAAGGTCACAGCACGACCTTCAAAAAAGTAAGCTGTGATTGACCCAAGAAATGGCTAGGTTGACTAAATGTGAAACTATTTGAAAGCGAAAACTAAAAGCTTGATTTAAGCTTATGAAATTAAACGAAAACAATTATGCCAAACTGCAAAACATAAGCAGAAGATACGGCCAAAGACATATTCAAATTTAAAGGTCAAAATGAACTGGCAATGCCATTGCAATAAACAAAATACGACAAACAGACAAACAATAACAAACAAAACAGTACAAAGAAAACAAAAGACTGAGCAACATGAACTCCACCAAAAAAACCCCCCAAAATAACCAGATGTGATCTCAAGAGGTCTGGCAGGGTAAGCAGTTTCGGATAATCACTGGTTTAAAGGCTCTTGGCTTGGGAGCTGCACATATAGAATAAGGCAGGGTTAAATATGTTTGTAAGGGCTCAACCGTTCCCATTACCTTGGACACGGTGAAACACCAAGTGTATAACAAGAGTGCACATGCTGAAATGTTTCGCATGCTTTACTGACCATTGATTTTATGTTGAAAGTCTCAAAGACAAAGGTTTTACTAAAATCATTACAGAAACTTAATGAGGTCAAGGTCAGATACATTACAATTTTTTTATACACCAAATCTATTGATCTATTGTGTATGGTAATTGAAAAACAGACAAAAACACAAAAACTTAACATTGACCAATGAACCATGAAAATGAGGTCAAGGTCAAATATAGCTGAACTATTGCTATTAGTATTTGAAAGCAGACAAAAACACAAAAACTTAACATAGACCAATGAACCATGATAATGAGGTC